AGATACCTATGTCTGAAAGAAGCCCTCTTCTGTTCATTTTGCAGTGGAAAGTACATTTAAATATATTAATACTGCATCAAGCAGCACACACACGATTTCACAGAATGAACATCTGATTTCTTCCAACTTAATCCAGGAAAGCACCTTCAGTGCTAATACTGATGTTTATTTTATGGCATTGGATTTGAAAGCATTTCATGAGGATGATTGCAACTAAGGTCTTTGCTAAGGGAGCTAGGTCAAAATGGAGAGAGGTGCCAAGCAGTGTGCCTCAGGAGCCTGTACTGGGACCCCTCCTGTGCCTTGTATATATATATATCAATGACCTGAATTTACAGAGGCAGTGTAAGATAGTTACGTTTGCAGATGACACCAAGTTGGCAGGGAAACGTGGAATCAGAGGAGGCAGCAAAGATCCTAAAAAAAATACCAGTAATAATAATCCTTGCATTTGATACAGCGTCTTACCGTGTCTCCGAGAGCTGTCTCAAAGCGCTTCACGGAGCATACTGTGAAGTGAATAGACCGTATGTTTTGTAGGCGATTCATGGCAGCCAATTTGCACTCAGCAGCGTCCATCCCGCAAACAGTCGTGAATTGAGTGACCAAGTTATTATCTTTTTTTTGCAACGCTCTGCCTCATAACCAGATATCTTTCTGATTTGTTTCCAGCACAGCAATATCTTTGCAACCACTAATCTGGGCAGGGTTCAACCAGTGCATTTGAAATCAGCGTCGTCTCTTTTGTTTTCGTGTTGCGGTGTATCTCTCTGCTATTCCAACATGTTTTTTTGATTGCAGCAGTGATTGAACTTCTGATCTCAGTGATTTTTTTTGCAAAAAAACGAAATCCCTTTCCTAATTTGCATGCTACAGGGCTGTCTAATCCCCCATATTCTACACCCTTGTACTGGTTGCTTGGGTTTGTAGCATTTAATTTACATCTATCTACATTGAACTGCATTTGTTGTCCCTGGCTACAGTTTCCCTGAAGATCTGTATCCATCTGTTATTCATTTTTTGCTCGGTCTCGAATGTTAATACAAGTACCTGCAAAATGTAGGGCTGTTGCTTTCAATATTCTGGTACGTGCTGTTATTTTGTGTGCCCATTTGTACCCCTTTTCAGCCCAAAGAGTTTCGATTTATGGCTGCACTTAAAATGTCACAGAGAAATTGAACTAAAGAAAAACAAAATTGGATAATTAATCTGCTTTCGTGGTTGACCTTTTTTTATGTGTGTTATTGATAGAAAAATATTGTTGCATACATACATGCACGCACCCATGCACACATACATATACACGCACAAACTATTTCTGAAGTATCTACGTATAGTTTGGGAAAATGCCAGATATCTGATTCGGTTTCAAGCAGTTTATATTTTCTTTTCTATGCAGTTACCAGTCAGGAGTAAGTCATAGGCTAATCTTAATAAGCATCTGTTATCTGTAATGAGAACCAGTAATGTTTTCCTTTGATTTCCTTAAAAAAAAGGAGATTTGAGGATTCTTTCCCAGTGCCCCTAACACCTGTTCATTTTAATTGCCAGTTTTGCAGTTTACATTTCTCCATCACCAACATTGAGGCAGTTGTAGCCATAGAAGCTATAGAATAATAATAATATTCCTTGCATTTGCTATAGCGCCATATCATGTCTCAAAGCGCTTCACAGGATACACTGTAAAGAAAATTGACTGTATATTTTATAGCGAAACATGGCAGATAATTGCGCACAACAGTGTCCCCACAAACAGTCGTGGATTAAGTGACCAAATTATTAAATTATTTTTGGAAGGGATTATTACTCCCAGGAAAACGATGTGCCAATCGACTAACAACCGGGTTCCTACTTACTGCTAGATAAACAGAGGCGTGTGGAGTAAGGAAACTTGCCCAACATTTCGCCCTGCCCGGGAATCAAACCCAGGTCCTCTCGCTTGTGAGGCGAGTAATAATAATAATAATCCTTGCATTTGATATAGCGCTTTTCACGTCGGGAGGACGTCCCAAAGCGCTTCACAGAACACACTGTAAAGTGAATTGACTGTATATTTGTGGGCGAATGTGGCAGCCAATTGCGCACAGCAATGTCCCACAAACAGTCGTGGATTGTAAATGACCAATTTATTATTGTTTTTGGTTTTGGAGGGATTATTATTAGGTGTGTGGAGTAAGGAAACTTGCCCAAGGTTTCGCCCTGACCTGTCTGGAATTGAACTCAGGTCTCTCGCTTACAAAGCGAGTGCTCTAACCATTGAGCTACAGGACTCCACAAGCTGGGGCTACATGTGGTTCCAATTTTCATGCAAATATATTTTTAAGCTCCAGTCATTTATTCGCCCACAAAGTACACAGTCATACCATATGACAATATCCCGGTGTCCCGGCCAACAAACCCCCAGATAAAATTGGTCATTCACTTTGTGGCTGTTTGCGGCACATTGGCTTAAGGCACTTTGGCTGCAGCGTTTGCCAACAAATCCCCAGTCATTGCAGTTCAAGAGGAATACGCTTTGAGACATCTTCACGGTGTAATAAGGCGCTATATCAAATGCAACGATCATTATTGTTATTTATTTAATAATACACTAGATTTTCCCGAAACAAAACCTGAGGTGACTAGACACCAGATGCCCTACGGATGGATGATGATAATAATAATAATTAATAATAATCCTTGCATTTGATTTAGCGCCTTATCACGTCCTTAATGGCAATGTTGTCGGTGATGGTGCACTGAGTTAAGGATCGGGTCAAAATAAACTTGAGAGAGACGCTGCCTGTCGGTAATTACGGCAGATCTTTGTATTGAAGCCGGGTTACCTCGCAAATCAATGCTCGAGTCTCGTGGGTCATACAGTTTTTAATACGAAGAAACATTCAACGCAGGCAGAAACTGTTATAACGGCAGAGATAAAAGGCAAATCTGCCATTACATTACAATGACATGGCTAATCGGGTTTAATTTAGGAGATCAGTGCCACATGTGCATAAAGCTTCTTTATTCACAGCGTTCCGCCTGCCACCAGGGAGTGTCCTCTGCCGTGCATTACACTTGTTAACTGCGAGTACTCTTTACTGTCGGACTGCGTAAAAGAAGTCGGGCCTTCCGAACAACCGTGGTGCAAACGTTACATCAGAAATCTGCTCAACCATTCGATTTAGAAAAGAAAATGCAAGCGTTTACCTAACTTGTGTTTGCATCGCTTTTTGCAGAGTTTGATCCTGTGTGGTGAAGTTAAATTTTTTGCTCCAGCTCGTTAGCAAAAGGCAGTTAACGAATGATAGTAATACTTATTATTTCATCAAGGTGTCTCATAGTGCTGCATAGGATAGGCTGTCAAGTGGTATTAGCATATGTATTTTGCGGGCGAATGCGGCAGCTAATTTGCGCACAGCGATGCCGCACAAACAGTGAGTGAGTAGCCAATCTTATTTTAGGGGGAATTTTAGTTTGCCCTCAAAACACACCAGTCACGCCACTTTTTGGCATATGCTGTGAAGCGCTTTGAGACAGCTAGACGATGTGGTAAGGCGCTATAGGGAAAAAGCAAGGATGATTGTCTATAATAAAAAGAGAGCACAATACAGTGAATTTCTTGAATACAATAATATTCCTTGAATTTATTGAGCCAACGAGGAAGATTTTTTAAATAGTCACTTTTGGACAACCAGTCTCCCCTCTGAGTTCCCGTTTCATATTTTATTCAGACATCACCGTGTAAAACAAAGACAGTGTGAGTTGATTGATTTTTTTTCCTCTCTCGCACCATTGTGCAACCTTGGATTAACATTTGCAAATGCCTGCAGCATCGTGTAGCAGATATTAATCATTTGTTTAGTCACAATGAAAACGAAAAGTGCTAATTACTCAAGAAGTCAAAGCAATTGTAATTTCCAGCAGCTTTTGTGTGTTTACTAGGGCGAACAGTGCGGTTGTGTACTGACACATCAGAATACAAGCATAAAAGAACAATGCTGTAAATGTAGCTCGTGACTTGCCAGTCAACAAATTGTCAAACAGCAGGAAATAGCAGGAACAGGACATCTCTCTAATGGCCCACAGGGCCCCTTATGTTGGAGCAATTTTATAATCGCTTACTCTTTCTCCTGTGCCAACAGTGTGGGGAAAAAAATCTGCAAAATGGTAGCCCACTCGCATCACAGTGCTGCTGTTGGCAAATTGTTCCAGTCTGCGGGTTCCTTCCCGCAATCACCTCGCGTGCATTTCACTCCCATTATCACACGCACTCATCTCATTGCTCACGTGCACTCGGTCTCACACCTACAACCCCACGCACCCACACACACCCTCTAGGGGGAGGTGGTAACGAACAGACCCTTCTTCTCACAGATATCTCCTTGGACAAGTTTGTCTCCTAAGTTTCGCCCACAAAATACACAGTGAGTTCAGTTTACAGTGTACTCTGTGAAATGCTTTGAAACGTCTCGAACACGTGATAAGGCGCCAGATCAAATGCAAGGATTATTAATGGAAAGCCAAACACTGAAATTTTCGCTTGACCTTTATAGAATCGTAGAATATTACAACACAGAAGGAGGCCATTCAGTCCCGCTCTCCACCTCTTTCCCTACAATCTTTGCAAATTTTTTCTTTTCAAGTACCTATCCAATTCCCTTTTGAAAGTTGTCATTGAATCTGTTATAGAATCGTAGACTCCTGTGTTAGACTCCTTTACACAAATGATGATCGGGACACTCACGAGGGTTTGAAATTTGGGGAGGTTAGGCGATCACTCTGTTGTTGCGTTTCCTGCATTATCATAGAGGATTAATATTTAAAGGGTTCTGTTCACGAAGAAAAGGAATCGCATGAAGCCAACCTGGCAACTTGATGCATTGCTTCTGGACAAATGGCCAACGTAATGATCTGGGCCCCACATTCAGTTGCTTGTAATGTTTAAAGTAACTCACTAAGTGGCATTTCTAACCCCGATTTATTTTTGCCTCATTTGTTTTTTTGTTTTTCTTGCCCAGATGTGAATCAGACAACCGTTACCTTGGGAACCCACTCCGAGGAACCTGCTATTGTAAGTATTTCCGTTTCTCATTCAATTTTTGGAAATGGCAGGTCGAAAGATAAGACTTTGAGCTCATTAATCTGGGCTGACATCTCCAGTGCAGTGCCAGGAGAGCACCGTGCTATCAGAGGTGGCTTCCTGTATGTGTGAGGTTAACCTGAGAAGTCATCTGCCTGTCCAGGTGGGCATTAAGTGAGGAGGTGATGTTTAATTTAAACAAAACTTTGGTTAGACCACATTTGGAGCAAGAAGGATGCAGCATAGATGCAAAGAGTAGCTCAATGTGGAGTCCTTTGGCTCACTGGTTAGAGCACTCGCCTTGCAAGCGAGAACCTGGCTTCGATTCCCGGGCAGGGCGAAACTTTGGGCAAGCTTCTTTATTCCACATGCCTCTGTTTACCCAGCAGTAAATAGGAATCTCGCTGTTAATCGATTGGCGGATCGCTTTTCCGGGGGTAATAATTCCTTAAAATAATAATAAATTGGTCACCTCAACTCCTGACTATTTGTGGGACACTGCTGTGCGCAATTGCTGCAATGTTTCGCCCACGAAATATACAGTAAATTCACTTTACAGTATTTTCTGTGAAGCGCTTTGAGACGTCTCGAAGACGCTAAGGCGCGAAATCAAATGTAAGGGTTATTAGTATAATTGTTAAAGAGTGCAGCATAGATTTACAAAGATGATACCAGGATTGTCAGGTTACTGCTATCAAGATAGACTGGAGGGGTTGGGCCTTTTTGTTTTGCTAGAGATGAGATGTTTAAGGGGAGTCCTAATAGGAGCATTTAAAATTATAAAAAGGTTTGATAAGGTTAACATAAATAGGCTATTTCCACTGGTTTGGGCATCAGTGACCAGGATACATAAATATAAGATGGCAATTAGGAGAATCAAAAAAAAGAATTTAGGAGGAACTAGTTCACGTAGAGTGGTGAGAGGGTGGAACTCGCTGCCTGAAGTGGTGGTTGAATCAGATAATGTATCTGTAATCAGGTGGGTATGGGAGGGAGTAAGAAATGGGTGGACTGTTCTGTTTACCTACAAAATGTACAGGGCTGTATAGAGTCTTGAATGTTACACTAAAATATTCCACCATCGGTGGCCGCTTTCAGCCACTACGCCCCGAAACTCTGAAACCCTCTCCCTCAATGCCTCCGCCTCCCTCCCTCCCTCCCTCCCAAAATGCAAGTTGTTGTCAAAAATCCTTTGAAGCTCTTTGATATCAAATGCAAGGATGATGATTATTAAAGCAAAATGCTGTGCAAACACATCTCATCAGCTGTCAATGTTTGCTCACTTGCACCAATACAGAAACTTGGATTAACATGTATTCTCAGCCTGCAGCTATGAAAAGAAATGTGTACTACATATTCTCCTTCTTGCAGCAGTGACTGATTTGACCTCTGCCTGTAAATGACCCTGTTTCAGTTGTCAAGCATTTATGCGTTTAAACGAAATGGTACTTTTCTGCTTGTTTTTGTCTCTCACGTGGTGTGCTGTTGTGCGCAGACGCGTTTTAATACAGAATTTTTAAAAAATCAAGCGTTTTGTGGCAAATCGCGTTTGCGAGCTGAAAAGGCGAGTTGAGGCACAAATTGACACGGCTTCAGGTTGCCACTCACATTCATGGGTTTACAGATCCAAACAAATATATGTTCCGAATAACAACAGCTTGCATTTCAATAGCACCTTCACGGAGGAATTATCGTCCAACAAGGGAAGGGGGGAATGGGATAGTGACCCTTGGTGCAGTTAAAGAGATAACATAAATCACTATAATAACTCACAGTAACTCAGTGGTTAGAGCACTCGCCTCGCAAGCGAAAGAACGTGGGTTCGATTCCCGGAAGGGCGAAACATTGGGCAAGTCATTTCATTTTACAGTACTTTCTGTGAAGTGCTTTGAGATGTCTCAAAGACACGATAAGGCGTTGTATCAAATGCAAGGATTATTATTATTTTCTTCTTGCCGTGAGGATCATTACTGTTGTGCTTATATTTTTTATTTATTTGCCCTCATATTGGGATGTGTGAAAACTGCTTCAGATGCGAGAGCGGATTCAAAAAAAAGGGAGGAAGAATAACATTGAATAGATTATACACACATTCTGCACATTACATTTATTACCTTTATTGTTTACAGGTTACATTTATTGTTCCACGTATCTGACCTGTGTGGCACCACCTTCATATTTTAACGCATTTTATTTTCTCTCGGACCCGTGGGTGACAGAACAGTCAGGGAAATGCGCTGCCCTTTAATAAATTGCTGGTCTTGAAACAGTTTCAGAAAAAATCTTCCTTTCAGGCAGACAGACCTCCTTTCTCGTAAGGCACCAACCGGAAATGACACGAAAATAACACAATGGCAGGTCTTTACATAAAGCGTGATCAGAGGTGACACAGATCACAAATTAATGGGGATCTGGGGAAGAGAATTGTGACTTTAGGAAGAAAACGTAGCAATAAAATGGACAGATGACAGTGATATAACATTCTAAAGTGGCACATTGGCAGCACGATTCCGATTAATCAGGTTTGTTTTTTTTATTATATAAAAAAAGCTTTTCTGTGCACTCTGCCTAAGTTGCCTTGAGCTGAAGAGCTGGATTGTCAGCCTTGTATCCATTCCGACTGACTTCATTGAAAGTCAGAGTACAGATGGGCAAAGCTGCCCATTTCCTGGCCGTTCCTTGACCTTCGCACGGCTCGTTTAAGACGCCAGCTTTCTTGCAGCAAATAAAAATAGTTCTTAGTTTGCTGGAGCTCGCTGCGTTGGGCAGAATCAGTCTTTCTAAATCTGCCTTTGATTTATTTGTGATTCATAATTATCCCACCAACTTTGTAGACTTTAATGCCGGCAACTTGCATTTTATATTCGTTTTATTGCGAGGCAACACTGGGGCGAAATTGATTGTGCACAAACATAATGGAATCTTCAGAAGCAAGAGATTACATCGAAATGGCTCTTTTGTTCAAAGCTAATTGCTTTATCTTGGTAAGAAAGTTTCAAAGGAAATGCATATATTTGCAGTCTTACATGCACATTCCAAATTGCTAATTTATTGGTAATGTACAGTTAAACTGGCAAACTATTAGTTGCTAATGAGGTCCAAATGCAATTTCAGGCTGGTTTGTCAAGAGCCCTGAAGTGATATGATAGTGAATTGGAATGAAAGATAATCTTGTTTGGATAGTTCTTAATCTGGAAATTTAATTCCTTGGCTGTCAAAGCACTAGAGGGCACAATCATTATACTCTATACACTTATAATTTTCCCCAAAGAAGTGATGAAAAGGTGATGTGTACTCTTACTGTGTAATGATGTTAATTTAATTTGCAAATCCTTGTGTGTTTTTGTTTGTAATTAACGTGGAATACTGTAGGCACTGACAGCTTCATCTGTAGAGTATAATAATAATAATACTTGCATTTGATATAGCGCTCATCACATCTTCGAGACATCTCAAAGCGATTCACAGGATCTACTGTAAAGTGAATTGACTGTGTATAATTTGTGGGTGAAACACAGCAGCCAATTGCAGTGTCCCACAAAGGTTCGTGGATTGAGTGACCAAATTATTTTTTTTTTGAATGATTTATTACTCCCGGAAAAGCGATCCCTCAATCGACTAACAACCGGGTTCCTATTTACTGCCAGGTAAACAGAGGTGTGTGGAGTAAGGAAACTTGCCCAACATTTCGGCTTGTCAGGAATCAAACCCAAGTCCTCTCGCTTGCGAGGCGAGTGCTCTAACCACTGAGCTACAGGACTGTAGCATTGGTGTAGCAGATCCTCAGGCCTTACTCTTCTCTCACCTATCACCTCCACTGCCCAACACTCCCTCCAGCAACAACAGCGATAACAAATCAGTACAGAGCCTTTCACGTCAGGAGGACGTCCCAAAGCTCTGGATAGTCAGGGATCCGCACCCGAGCTGGTGGTTGGGATCTGGACGGGGAAGGAAGGAGCCGAGGCGGAGGGACTGTGGGATGGAGTTCCGGAGGGTGGGAACGGAGAGGCTGAAGTTGGGGGCGGGTAAGGCGGGGGACGTGAAGCAGGCCGGAGCCCGCTGAGCGGAGGGAGCCGACAGGTTGGTAGCACCACCCACAAATATGACCCCACAAAATATTTTAAGCTTTTAGAGGGTTATCACCTCGTGCACATGTGATGTTCCAATTTGCACGCATTAACTTGAGCCTTCTGCAAACAGGATCCGAACAGGATCCAGTTAAGATGCCTTAATAAGTTTGATATTACGCACGCAGCCATTTAGTTTGATTGCAGGTCGTTTTCAGAGATTATTATCAGGATGTGCTTGCATTGATTGTAGCTTGGATTAAGGGTTAATGAAGTAAAAGCTGAAAATTGGATTCACGTGCCAGCAGCCTGCAATGTGATCATGGTGACGATGGGTGATTATTCAAGGCAGTATCTATCCGTCTTTGAAATAGAGTATTGAGCCTTGTGAAATCTGTGGTGCTCTGTAAATTTCCCTGTACTGTTCAATTTGCACAATTGAGGTTCAACTGATTATACCTTGATGGGCTTTCTATGTTGGATGTAACGGTAATAATAATAATCCTTGTATGTGATATAGTGCCTTATCACGCCTTCAATAAGGAGACATAAGACGTGATAAGTATTGCACGCGGCAATTTTAATGCCATTCACCACAGAAATTTACAGTCATTCAGCTCCTTGAGCCTGTTTGGTTCATTTCAGTCCCATTTACTGGCCCCATTCCTTAAACCACTGAGGTATGTATTTTATTGATTGAAAGTACACTCTAGACCAGTTATTTTGTTGAATTGACTATACTGACATTGTTTGGCACATACAACTTCTCAATGACAGAACCATACAGTCAAGTTATCACAGTAAATTGCAGAATATTGCTTGATACTGAGAACACTTTCCTTGCTGTGCAGTTTTAATTTGTCCCTCTTGTCTAAAATGCTGCTGAGTTTGATTTAGAAGTGGAAATTAAGAGTCTTCAGGAAGTAAGTAGTTCAGATCTAAGGAGAGTAGCTTGATCGTAATGATGAAATACCTTAATGGGCAGGAAGAATTTTAATAGTTTGAAAAATATTAGCATGATTATTATCAAAAGGTTGGGTAAAATCCATAGCCATAAAGTATCGTGTCTATCCTGGTACTTAGCCCCAGAGCCTGTGTAGAGCATCCAGCTGTGATGTTAGTTCTAGCTAATATCTTTTATGCCTGAATATGAAGTCTAGATGCTCTACAAGCAAAAACCAAAGGCCTTCACATATTTTGCATTTCGTCTCTCCCGGCTGAATTACTGACAAACAAACTCCATCTGATTAGTCAGTGAAGTTGAGGGATATTAATTTTTCTTTAGATACATTAAACGGTGCCTCTGGAATGCTCTCCCTCAATCCCTCCGCCTTACCCCCCTCACTCCCCACCTTTAAATCCCACCTAAAGACCTTCCTCCTTGATCGTGCTTACGATCAACTCCCTCCCCTCCCTCTCCCCCCCTGGCTCAGGGTCAGACTCCGCCACTGCCAAGCGCTCTGGGACGCTACCCCACGTGATGGACGCTGTATAAATGCAAATTGTTGTTGTTTCACTAACTTCACTTCCGCACATGTCAGACACCCGGCTGCCCATAACCCCCTCCCCCCCCAAAAAAAACAATGCATATTCCCTACCCTACTGTACTTTGTCTAAAGTTTTTTATTGAAAAAAATGCTTCACAAACAATTCAGTGAGTAAAGCAAACCAGATGTTGGGATGTATCAACAGATCAATAGCAGCCGAAATAGTGGGGTCATCCTGCCACTGTGTAAATCCTTGGTGAGACCGTACTTAGAGACTGTACAGTTCTGGTCGCCGCAGTACAAAAAAGATATTGGAGAAATCGAGAAGATACAGAGGAGGGCAACCAAAATGATTGAGGGGATGGAGGGACTGGACTATGAGGATCCACTCAGTAAATTGCGCATCTTCACGCTGGAAAAGAGAAGATTGAGAGGTGACGTGATTGCTGACTTTAAGATTCTAAAGGGGCAAAACAATATAGATCATGTTGGGCTGTTTCAACTTGTCCAGAATAGTCAAACCAGAGGACACGGCCTGCGATTGAAGTCGGGTAAAATCAGAACAATCTACGCAAACACTATGTCAGTGAGCGAATAGTGAACCTGTGGACCAGGCTCCTGAGGGAGACGGTTGAATCTGGAAATGTTGATTCTTTCAAACACAGATTAGATAGTTTTTTTTAGGAAACAACATGATGGGATATAGTATAGAGGGAGTTTGGGCCATATGTGCATGCGACCACCAGGAAGGTGGAAGACGAACTAAATGGACATTGGTCTTTTTTCGTCTAGCATTTCTTATATTCTTAATTGCCTTTTAATATGAACAAGGCAAACAGGATGCCGGGCTATTTTGCCCAATTGAGCTTAGATCAGCAGAAGTCATACTCAGCCTCTATTAGTGCTTTGGCCTGACTGCACATAGTAATCATAATAATAATAATAATCCTTGCATTGGATACAGCGCCTTATCAAGTCGTTGAGACATCTCAAAGCGCTTCACAGAATGTATTGGAAAGTGGATTAACTGTGCATTTTGGGGCCAAAACACGGCAGCCAATTGCGCACAGCAGTGTCCCGCAAACATAGAGCCACTACAGACAGATCTGCTCACTGAGAAATAAGAGAGCCACCCATCCCCTCGAGGCAATGCAAAATAGAGTAACGACTGTTAGAGAAAATGAACAATAAGCCAACCATTAGACAAGCTAGGAAGTTTCAGTCTTGAATAGACGGCCACTGTATCTTGATTTTTGTCTTTTTTGTTCCCTTTTCTCTTCCCCACGACTAATTCTTTTTTTGCTGGAACAGTGTCCATTGATGGTATGAATAAGAGTATAGACTTGAAAGATACTGTGAGCTTGCTGAGAGATAATAAAGGAGCTCAATTATTATGTAGTAAAAGGTGAAGTACCTCACCACAAGGCTCAGTGATTCCAAGTTACTCTCCCAGTGATTTTTTTTGTTCGCTATTACAACATACTTATATATAAAAAAATTAACAAGGTGGGTATAAATGAACATCTTGTGATTCTTCACAATGATTTCCTTTCTTTGCATTAAAAACAGTAGGTTCTTGATGATCGGGAGTAATAACAATAATCCTTGCATTTAATATAGTGCCTTATCACATCGTAAAAATGTCTCAAAACAATTTCACAGTATATAATAATCCTTGCATTTGATATAGCGCTTTTCACATGTTCGAGACGTCTCAAAGCGCTTCACAGAATAGATTGTAAAGTGAATTGACTGTATATTTGTGGGCAAAACATGACAGCCAATTGCGCATTGCAGCGTCCCACAAACAGTCATGGATTGAAGTGACTAGCTATATTTCTTTACTGTAAAGTACAGTGACTGTACATTTGTTAGGGAACGCAGCAGCCAATGCGCACACAACAATGTTGCATAAACAGCCATAATAATAACAATAATAATCCTTGCATTTGATACAGCACTTTATCCCGTCTTTGAGGCGTTTCAAAGCGCTTTGCGGTATATACTGTAAAGTGGAGTGACTGTATATTTTGTGGGCGAAACAAGGCAGCCAATTGCGCACAGCAGCGTCCCACAAAAAAAATTATAATAATTTGGTCACTCAATCCACAAACAGTTGTGGATTGAGTGACCAAATTATTATAATTTTTTTTAAGGGCTTATTACCCCCGGAAAAGCGATCCGCTAATCGATTAACAACCGGGTTCCTACTTACTGCTGGGTAAAAAGAGGTGCGTGGAGTAAGGAAACTTGCCCAATATTTTTCCCTGCCCGGGAATTGAACCCAGGTCCTCTCGCTCACGAGGCGAGTGCTCTAACCACAGGAGTCCACATAGTGAAAGACCAATTATATTTGATGGATTGTTGGCCAGGACCAGGAGGAACCCCCTTATTCATCATACCCTTCATAACTTGACGTTGAAGCAGCCTCAAAATCCTGCTTTGCGCTATCAACCTACAGCCTTGATCTGAAGCATATGCTGCCAATCCAGAGGATAGAGCGTTGAAGGATTTATAGTGTGTTCTTTCTCCACCATGATTTCCTTCATCCTTTATAATCTGGTGATGGTTTCCACTTCCTTCAGTGTTGAGAAATGTTATTCCTCATGCAGCACAGTGACTGGAGGTCTGAAACTTGATCTCCGTGTGTTTTTATAAAGCAAAGAGTGCCATGTTTCCACCGGCCCCCACCCAGTTTCTCAAACGAACAGTTTCTGCATACCCCATGCCAATCGACGAACACCTACTCTCCCTTACACCCCCAACAACTCACATTTATGCAGCTCCCCTCACCCAGGGTAGCGTCCTAGAGCGTTTGACAGTGGCTGAGCACGACGCCAAGGGGAGGGAGGGGGTGTCTGTAGGCACGGTCGAAAAGGAAGGTCTTCAGGCGGGATCTGAAGATGGGAAAGGAATGGGGGCCAAGACGGAGAAATAGAGGCAGAGTGTTCCAGAGTGAGGCTGTGGGTTGGTGGGGGTGGGTAAATCTTTAATGGCTCCATCTACCTTAATCCTTTGTAGATATTCTGGGTCTCTCAGTATCTCAAATAGTATTTTCACATCTCTATTTCTATAGCTGAATAATAAAAATAAAGGTTGGTTCACTCTTTCAAGCTCAGATCAGCAAGCCTTAACTCTCTTTAAAGTTCAAGATTGTACAACTCTTTATTATTGCTCCCGATTCCTGGGAAAAGCATTTGATGCACCCATGGGGGAGGGAGAACAACCAGTTCGCCTCCCACCCTCTGCTGGCAGCCCCCTGGCACATGTAATGTGCCAACCTATATGCTGTATCCCATGATATTATTTCTTAACAGATTATCTAATTTGCTTTTCAAAGAAGCAAGAATAAAAGAAAAACCTTTTATGGGACTGTGACATGTACCCTAATAATCCTTAATCCTTGCATTTGATACAGCACCTTATCATGTCTTTGAGATGTCTCAAGGCCCTTCACAGAAAAAGCTGTAAAGTGCATTGACTGTAAATATTGTGGGTGAAACGCGGCAGCCAATTGCGCACAAACAGTTGTGAATTGACTGTTTACCCTTCACACAGGTGAAACCAAAATAAAGCTTTTAATAATAATAATCCTTGCATTTGATATAGCGCTTTTCACGTTGGGAGGACATCCCAAAGCGCTTCACAGAATGCACTGTAAAGTGAATTGACTGTATATTTGTGGGCGAAGATAGCCTAACTATGCACCCTGGCTATAAACTTACTTTACAGATGCTTGACTAACCTATAGGTGTGAATGGATTAAAGTTAGGAGAATAAGAGAATTTAATATTATGGCTACCGATGAAAGCTCAGTCGTATAGGTGAGGAGAAATTGAGTGACCAAATTGTGGCTTGAGGGACCAAATTGTTAGCGTTTTTTTTCGGAAGGAAGGAATTATTACCCCCAGAAAAAGAGATCCTCCAATCGACTAACAACCGGGTTCCTACTTACTGCTGAATAAACAGAGGCGTGTGGAGTAAGGAAACTTGGCCAACGTTTCACCCTGTCCCATACCAGCGTATGAATCGCCATCGATTTATATAACTGGCGATGAAGAGAGGAGATGATACTTTCCATCCTCTGGATCTTTTTTTTCCCCCCCTCAATGCAGACATGAAGGAAAAAGAGTACTTGCTATTTATGGAATATAATTGATGGTGTACTTTCGAATCTTTTCTACAGACGGCCTTTTGATTGACTACCAGTTCACCTTCAGCCTCATACAGGATGATGACCGCCATTACACAGCTATCAATTTTATGGCCACCCCCGAGCAGGTTGGTTTCATATATTTTTTTCTCTCTCTCTCTCCACTACAAATGATTTGCAGTTTAGAAGATTGTGCTCAGAGCAAGCAGCTTTCGTGAAGTATATCTCCTCAGGTTTTTTTTTCGTGAAGCGCATCGAAATTGTGCCGTTTGGGAAATTTATACAATACCCGGCTCTGTGCCCTCGACCAAACTGTGGAGATGAGGCTACATATTCCGGCTTTTAAGTTGTAATCTTGTTCAGCTTTCCGCTTTGCTTCCTCATGCCCTGTTGGTACCAGTGGAAGGTAAGCAGCATGATTTTCCGCCTCAGACACGAAATGTTCTTTTACTTCCTGAACCCTCATCGCTTTGGGTAGGGGACTATATATTTTTTTAAAAAGTGCCCCGTTTCGGAGCTGTGTGTAAGTTGTACTTCGATGCAGGACTCTGGGCTCATAGGTTCATTTTTAATCTTATTAAAATGTTTCATGTTTTTGATGTTAGCGTTGGCGGGCGGGCCTTCAGGCTCTCTGCCCCCACCCTCTGGAACTCCAACCCCAGTCCCACCCTTGCCTCCTTCAAGATACTCCTCTTCGGTCACCCTCCTACCCCCACCCTCCCCGCCCTCCACCCTTCCTGATCCCAACCACCAGCTCGGGTGCAGATCCCTGACTGTCCAGTGCCTGGGGACGTCCTCCTGACGTGAAAGGCGTTGTGTAAAAGCAATTTGCTGCTGCTTTTATTAAGGAGCTAGTCATGCATTTGCACTTGGGTGACTTTGGCAAAAATGGACAACAATAGTCCACACAATAGTCCCCCGAAAGAACTTGTTAGGAGCAGGGACACCCTTGATTAGACCACGGTGGAGCGAATCTTGCGGCTCAGCCCATGTTTATACACTCCTGTACTTTTCACACAGTCTAAGTCCGGCATTAAACTTCCTTGTTTCACTTAATGTTTCCAAAAGAAGACTCGTGTCTCTTCTGACCGCACCAACCCCATCTGAGTTTTGTTCGTGTCGTCCTCAGTTGTTTGCGCATTTTTGTTCTTGGCTGCATGTGCTTCACTGCGAAGGGACTGAAGAAGTTTTTAATATCTCCTCCTTCCGCCAAACACGTGCACACACTCATTCGCACACACACTTACTCACACACACTTACTCACACACACTTACTCACACACACACTCACATACACACTGACTCACTCACTCTCACTCACACGCACTCTCACTCACACGCCCTTTCACTCACACGCACTTTCACTCATGCACTATCACTCACTCACACACACACACACCCACTCTCATACACAATGAATCTCACTCACTCACCCACCCCCCACACATACACTCTCTCGCTCACACACACTCACTCTCTCGCTCACGCACACTCACTCGCACACACCACTGCCGCTCTTGAAACCATTTTGTTTGATGCTCCCTCATTCTTTCATCTGATTATCTACCAACGTGTTTTCAAGTTCTATTTGCTTCACACCAATACATAACCTTTACATTTCCTTGAGATGTAGATCTCTGGTGGCTGCAAAGAAAATCAGCGCAAAGCTGCAGTGCGTTACTCTTATTACGCTATCTGCTAAGTATAAAGATAAGACTGATGTATAATAAATTGGGTAAGAGAAGCAGAAGGACAATTTTCCTCCTAGGAGTAATTTTATTTATGTACCATTCAGCAGCGTTTCTGCTTCAAGATAAATTGGAACGCAACGTCTTTTTACTTCTCTGAGAGAATACTCACGAAATGTGAAATGTGGTTGGAATCTGCAGGGTACTAAACATCCTATTTAGAAATGCAAAGTACCAGATTGTTTTTGTGTTCACAATTAAGTTGTGCGGGATTGCCGCTCACTCAGCGCGATCGATGCGTAGGTAAGCAGGATGTGTCCCTCCAGGGAGAGAATTCACATTCCACGAGACAAACGACGACCACAACAACAACTTATATTTGCACAGCGCCTTTCACGTCAGGAGGACGTCTCAAGGCGCTGGTTAGTCAGGGATGTGCACCTGAGCTGGTGGTTGGGATCAGGAGGGGTGGAGGCGGGGAGGGTAGGGGTAGGAAGGTGACCGAAGGCACGATCAAAGAGGAGGGTCTTGAGACGGGTCTTGAAGGAGGCAAGGGATGGGGCGAGCAAGGCGGAGGGACTGTGGGATGGAGTTCCAGAGGATGGGGGCAGAGAAGCTGAAGGGAAATCTCAGCTTGGTTTGGATAACCTTAAACATGGTGATGGGTTTCCGCACATGTCAGACTGCCTCTTTGGTGGCATTTTGCTTGCAACAATGATATAAGTGCAATTTGAAAGCTGCGTAGAATAGTCAGTCCCTCACCAGGTGCGCTCCCCGGATTTCCAGATCAGGCTTCTTTGTCATAGCACCAACCCTCATTAACCAAAAAAAATGGAGTGCACATTAAAAGCTCTGATGGAAATTTGCAAAGTGCTTGTAAAATCAATGTCAGTGCACCTGTCTGAAGTAAATAAGGTTCGGCCAGATGCTGGGATGAAGATTAATGAAATGTCCAATGCAGTCGGTGTAATTGTAAAGGTTTGATGTTTCAAGGGAATTCGTGCCTTTGGCTTTTTAATCAGGCGATCACTTTCCTCTCCATGGACCGATCAGATTTCCTTTCCCTTCTCCGGATGACCCTCCCCACATTCCCATTAATAATAATAATAATCATTGCATTTGATATAGTGCTTTTCACGTCTTCGAGATGTCTCAAAGCGCTTCACAGAATATGTGAATTGACTATATATTTGTGGGCGAAACGTAGCAGCCAATTGCACACAGCAGCGTCCCACACACAGTCGTAGATTAAAGTGACCAAATTATTATTAATTTTTTTCTTGAGGGATTATTATCTCCCACCCCCTTTGGCTTCTACCTTCAACTTGGATTCCCGGCCGTTAACTTTGAGACGTTCACTCGCTGTGAAAGTCGCTTTATTATAATAATAAAAATAAGCCTTACATTTGAAAAATAAGCCTTACAGCGCTTTATCACGTCTTCAAAGCACTTCATAGCATATACTGTAAAGTGTAGTGACTGTATTTTGTGGGCGAAACACGGTAGCCAATTGTGCACAGCAACTGAGCACACAACATTCATTTATGAATGTACATCAGATTTATTGTATCTTAGGACTTTGAGCACTATTTCTTCTGTACCTGGGACTCTCATAGCAACACATCTCTTGCATGTTTGCCAACTGATTAATTCTGCTGATGGAACGAGCAATATATGTTGCTAATGAAGGGTTAATATCGTAGGATATGAAGAGGAGGCATGCAATCCTGCAGTTTCCTCCATTGACTTTGGCTGAGGCAAGCAGAACATTTACTGAAAGTTTCTTCTGCAGTTTTCCTGGGTTTTGGATCGAGTCCACGATGGTTTGCAGTTCTGTTCTTCAATTTAATTTAACATTGGGCTTCTCCTGGTGGGTGGCATTGCGTTGTGTGGGTGTAGAGAATTGACAACTAATTGAATGCTGCAGCATTTGGGGAGTCAGGAGCGCAATGTGACGGCAAATACAATGGGAGCCCAAGCTTTGGTTTTTATTTTGTTTTAGGGGAAACGCAGTAAGGACAATAATCATCCTTGCATTTGATATAGACCCCATCCCGTTGTCAACATGTCTCAAAGTGCTTCACAGGATATATTGTAAAGTGGAGTCACTGTGTAATTTGCACACATTGTTGTCCCACAAATAGCCATGGACTGACTGACTAACTGACCAATTTCATTTGGGGGAATTTTTGGCCAGGACACCGGGAGAAACTCCCTTCTCTCTTCGAATAGTGCCATGGGATCTATAACGTCCACCTCGGTTTAACATCTCATCCAAAGTTCCGCAGCCCTCACCATCCCAGACTCCACTGGAGTGTCAGATTGGGCTGTGATCCCAAATCACGACGTGAGGCTTGAACCCACAGCCTTCTGAGTAAGAGCCAAGAGTTTGTGGAAGAATGCTGAAGAGTGCACGCAAACTGCCATGGTGTGAATGACCAATATTATCTGGGGGGATTTGTTTGTGGAAATACTGTTAATAATAATTCTAATAATCCTTGCATTCGGTATAATGCCTTTCACGTCAGGAAGACGGGAAGCACTTCACAGGATATTCTGTATATAAAGTACGGTGTGTGTTTTGTGGGCAAATGCTATTGCGCTTCATAGGATTTTGAAATAGTTTGAACTGTTATTTCTGGTTATTTTGTTTTCTGTTTGATAATAATAAAAATAATCCTTGCATTTGATACAGCGCTGTTCACGTCTTCTCGACGTCTCAAAGCGCTTCACAGAATATGCTGTAAACTGCATTGACTGTATATTTGTGGGCGAAACGTGGCAGCCAATTGCACACAGCAGGATAAATAATATTTATTTGCAGGGCAAACAATAATAAATTGGTTCATTTTCAATCCACAAACAGTCGTGTTATTTATTATTGTTTTTGTTTTGGAGGGATTATTATTAGGTGTGTGGAGCAAGGAAACTTCCCAAGGTTTCGCCCTCTGCCTGGAATTGAACCCAGGTGTCTCGCTTGCAAGGCGAGTGCTCTAACCACTGAGTACGGGCCTGATGTTACTGTATGAAAGCTAAAACTTTGATGGAATGAGCCAAACTGCAAAAGAACTTATTGCTGTATCGTGAGAATTGGATTTCTCGTGTGAGCAATTCCACTTTTCTTTTACAAACTTAATTTTCTTTAGCGCAGGATGGGTTGGTTAGACTCTCAGAGATTGCTGTAATGTCAGAGGTTCCCGCTGTTGAAGTGAATGGTTAAAGTGAGGTCCCGTTTGCTCGTCCGATCTTATATTAAAGATTCCATTGCATTGCTCAAAAAGAGAATGCTGCGTTCACCTACAAATACAGAGTCACTGAACTTAATCCTGGGAAGAGCTTTGAGACATTCCAACAATGCAATCAGGTTCTGTGTCAATTGCAAGGATTATTATTACGCTCAAAACCTGTGTTGCAAAGCTGTTGGTTTCCATTCTCTTTAGAAACATCCAGCTTAATCCTTTTGTGACCAAAGCATTCCTGCAAAGTACAGGGGAAAATATGAGCATTGCTAAATTCCGATGCAATTCTTTGATTGTCTATCGTGTTTCATCGTGGGGGACTTGTATTAGAAGAGCTCATGTTTTTACATTTGAATTTGCGGATGGTAATTTTTGCTCGAGGTAAAACACCGATGCCTTTTTTCAGAATGACTTAATTTGGAGGATTAATAATACTTGTTGCTTCAGGCATCTCACAGGTCATTGAAAATTAAAATTGTTGGAGGGGGAGAGATGGGTGGTTGCGTGCGTGTGGTTGAGTGGGGGGAAGGTAATCAGTGCTTAAATAAATATTTCTATTGACGTTGCAGTATGTTGGATGACATGACATCCACTTACTTTTTCCATTAGGTAATTTTTAAATATGTATTTTTTTTTGACAGACAGACAAAGATCTCGACCTGTCCATCAATGCGTCAAACAACTTCAACTTAAATGTCACTTGGTCTGCAGGCTCAACAGGTAAGAGATGGAGAACTCTGCAGCTCGTGTACTGTCCCGCACCAGGCTTCACAACCATATCACTCCCACCCTCGCTCGCCTCCACTGCTCCCCATCCCCCAGAGGATCGAATTCAAGATCCTCATCCTCACCTACAAGGCCATTCACGGCCTCGCTCCCTCCTACCTCTCCGACCTACTATCCCCCTATCTACCCGCCCGTACCCTCCGTTCCTCTGGCTCCGGTCTGCTCCACATCCCCCGCCCCAACCGCCCTACCATCGGTGGCCGGGCCTTCAGCCTCTCAGCCCCGAGGCTCTGGAACTCCATCCCCAGTACCTTCGCCGCCTCCTCCCTTTCCTCCTTCAAGGCCGGTCTCAAGACCCTTTCTCTTTGACCGAGCCTTCAGCTCTCCTCTCGACTCTCTACCCCCTCCTCGCTCGCTCCCTTCCCTCCCCTCACCATTTCCCCCCTGCTCGGGTCCTGACCCAACTGTCCAGCGCTTTGGGACGTCCTCCCGACGTGAAAGGCGCTCTATAAATGGAATCTTGTTGTTTAAAAAAAATAGTGTCTTTGATGTTTCTTGTTCAGATTCGTTCACAATAGCGGGATCTGATCGGAACTGAAATGCCAAAAAAAAAAAGGGGCATCCCATCAAAATCTTGATAAAACTCTTTTTCCTTCAGGCTTCTCGTTATTGAACATTTCTGGGATGGCATGTTGCAACTTGGCGTCTGTCTTATTTCTTTAACTCTATATGTTGGATGCCCAGATAACCAATAATCTTTTTCCAAATCCATTAAAATGCACTGTGTGATATGCAGGACTTGTTAGGTTTAGGGGAGACACTGAGCATTTTGTTCATTGTGAAATATTTTCTGATGTTGCATTCTTAAAGCAGAAGGTCTCAGTTAAAACTCACTGCAGTGATCTGGCCTAAATTCACTTCATTCCCTTGTGGCACGAGTGTATCTTGTGCTGCACACAGTCGAATCCGTAGCTTTCCGCCGAATAATGTTTTATTCAATCTGACGTATCCACTTGTGCACAATCTAAGGTGTGTGTTTGTGCTTGGCTCAGTTAAGTGGCACTCTCACCCCAGAGCTCGGAGGTTGTTGGTGGAAACCCTCCATTGGATCTTTGAGCTCACAGCTTTGCCTTCACCCAGCGGCTCAAGCCATCAGAGAAATCTGATCAGATTGCAGCTGTGGTGCTGGGCTGCATTGCATTGTTGAAGGTACCTAAAAATCGCTTCAGGATGTCTCGAAGACGTGATAAGGTGCTATCTCAAATGCAAGGATTGTTATTATTATGATTGTTCAAGTGGACTTTAAAGTTCTCATGATAAAGAATTCTACAGACTATCCTAATACCCCACAAACAGCAGCCTGACTGAGATAAACCAATGAATTTAGCACACAAGGGAATTAAGATGGGACACTCCATGTTGCATAATGTATTTAATTACTAAACCGTTACTCAGTTCTTCTGTTTCTCCTCTTTCCTCCAATACTGCCTCAGATTATAATGTAATGTAGAATTACGTTTTGGTTCACTGTGTTCATTGCTGGTATTTTAAAGAAAATCTTCCTTTGATTGTGTGTAAAAGAAGTTTGCATGCGGTTTGAAAGGTGAAAAAAACTCTTTCATTACTCGAGGGTTCAAGGTCGTTTTTATTTATCTTATTCAACTAAGATTAGATTTTTTTTAATATTAGGAATCGCTGCAGCTGTGCATTCTATGTACATAACTCTATTAAACAGTCTGGCTTTGCTTTTCCATTTCGGTTTAGATTGGTTTTCTAACAAAGTCTCTGACTGCATTAAAATTCCTGAAGCCACAGAAAAAAAAAGAAATACTGTAATTCCAGTTAAGATAACTTTGCATTTGCCTAACAGCTGTTGCTTGTAAGATTCGAAGGTCTGCTGTCAGGCATGTCGTGCTGCATTTAATTTTCAAAGTGAGCGAAATACAGTTCACGCAAACCAGATAAAAAGAGCACGGGCTTTTAAATACCATGGATGAGTCATTTAACAGCGATTATGATTCTGTGTCCTGCATTCTTCTTCGTTGGGAGTTTGGTGTTCGATACAATTCTTTTCATCGCACTTCTTGAACGCTGTAAGCCTTTGTGCACCATACCTGTCAAACTCTGCCCGCGGTTGTCTCCTTTACACTCCCACTCGCCAAATGGTACGAGAATCCCAATTTAACTGTGGGAATTATAAAGCAAAAATAGACACCAATTTGGTGCCCCTGGATTTCATGGACAGCAGCATCTATCTCGGCCTGTCCCGCCCACCATCGAAGGTCGGGCTTCCAGCAAATCTACTCGACTCTGGAACTGAATCACTGACTCCCTCCGACTCGCTCCCTACCTCACCTCTTTCAAGTCTGTCTCTTAACCTACCTCTTTGACTTCACATTTCCCCTCCCTACCTCCCTCCCTCGGGTCCCACCCCCAGCTCGGGCGCCAAGATAGGACTGTTAAGTACCTTGGGAAGTCTTCCCAACATGAAAGTCGCTATGTAAATGTGTATTGTATTGCATCTGCTCCCATTACAGTGCTCTCTGGCTGAGGCTTGCCCTCCTCTTGTTAGGTACCTCTTTTTCTTTGTCCTGTTGCTCTTAATTTTCAGAGGGTATTGGTTGCATTTGTTCTCATTGCAGCCTCCCTCTCTCGCAGTAACTTGTTGGTTCTGTGATCCCTGCACAATACAGGCTGAGGTTAGATTCATTTACCGCTTGCATGTGCTCACAGTACTGGGAATAAACAGATCCTGTTTTACTGTATATGACGAAAAAATTGGAATAAAAAATAAGGAATGTGGGCTAATCTGTGGGTAGGGTTTTTGCTCTCGGAGACTCTAGCCCGAGTGAAGGGGGCTATATAAATGCACTTGCTATTGCACAACAGGAGATATTCACTTGAGAGATTTGTGAAAGTATTAATTTGGTCACAGTGACTAATCAACTGATAATTAATGAGCATTTCCTATATAGTCCGTAGAGGATGCCCAGTATTTGACCCAAACTCTTTTAAAGTGATGGCCGTGCTTGTAAAATGCGATTTTTGCAAACACCGGATATAATTTTAACCAAATTTCACAATTTCTCAACCTGCAGCTGGAACAATATCTGGAGAAGAAGTTCCCATCATCTCGAAGATGAGCATTAAAGAATACAGAGATGGCTTCTCTTACGAAAAGTTTAACTTTCGCAATAACCCGAATATCACATTCTACGTGTATGTTAGCAACTTTAGCTGGCCCATCAAAATACAGGTGAGTTCTTGTTTTTTCCTCAGTGAAAAGATGCAGCCTCGATCTCTGTTTTATATAACTCCGGCCAAACACAAACAATGTGAAACTTGTGAAATTAAGCAACACTATTTAGACTCTGATGCTGAGAAGCTGCTCTCTAACCTTGACTTGACAGTCGTAGGCTTAACATCTCAGTCACCAGCGTTGTGAGATAATAATGTGAGCGAAATGCAACTGCGACTTGTTTAAGACTTGTCATTTATCATTTTGTCATTTGTCATTTATATTGAGATTTGTCATTTCTATCATTTCCCGCAACAGAGTGAATTGAGAGTGGGGAGCAGGATTTATATGTTAAGTTCTCAACTCTGCTCACCAACGGGAGCTGTGCCCATACTCGATTTATGTGCAAGCACAGAACTTTGGGTCTCAGTCGTTCTTTCTTTTTAAATTTTATAATGCTGTTTAATGATAACATTGCAAAGAGTCCCTTAATTCAAGATCCCTCGAATTCAAGATCCTCATCCTCACCTACAAGGCCATTCACGGCCTCGCTCCCTCCTACCTCTCCGACCTACTATCCCCCTACCTACCTGCCCGTACCCTCCGTTCCTCTGGCTCCGGTCTGCTCCACATCCCCCGCCCCAACCGCCCTACCGTCGGTGGCCGGGCCTTCAGCCTCTCAGCCCCGAGGCTTTGGAACTCTATCCCCAGTGCCTTCGCCGCCTCCTCCCGTTCCTCCTTCAAGGCCGGTCTCAAGACCTTTCTCTTTGACCGTGCCTTCAGCTCCCCTCTCCACTCTCTACCCCCTCCTCGCTCCCTCCCTTCCCTCCCCTCACCCTGACCATTTCCCCCCTGCTCGGGTCCTGACCCAACTGTACAGCGCCTTGGGACGTCCTCCCGACCTGAAAGGCGCTCCATAAATGGAATCTTGTTGTTGTTGTTGTTAAAAGTTCATGGAAAACCTAAGGGACCCTTTCTGAACAGCAGCCTGCATTTCTACCGTAGCAATTGGAATCTGTGTCCTAGTGGAACCAACTTTTCAAGGTGCTCCAGGGAGGCAGACTCACAGAGCAAATCGTTTCCCACTTGTGCCACGTCACACAACAAGCCGTGTGTTTTTCCACTGCAAAACCTCGCCCGAAAACTTCAGTGCGAACTGGGGAAAATCACATTTTCAGCTCAAATGTTCAGTCCACTGTTGTGAATAATATAAGTATCTTGCGAACCAAGGTTATGCTTTTACCAGCTGACCCTAAAGACCATTGACAATCGCACAGGATCTGTGGCATTGCGATTTTACCATGTAAACCACCTTTATGATAGAATATTTCTTGATTTATACCTTAAAACGCGCTATTAATCGAGCACCGATTTACCTAGACTTGTGCGAATGCTCGGGGGTTGCCTCTTGATGGCCCCGTGGGCCACATCCGGCCCGTGGGCCAAAGGTTGGCCACACCACTGATTCCCAACCGTTAACTTAGGAAGAAAGCTGGACTTAATGTAATTTTAATTGTTTATTTTGAAATATTCAATGATGTACTTACTGACGTGCTCTCCCTGAAATGCCTGGTGGAATGGAATATTCCCTTGTTCTGTTGATAATGAGGTAGCACAAATTCCATTACTTCGACTTGAAGGAATTACTGAGTGTAAACACAATTTCCATTCTGCAGTACAATTTGCGTGTATACAGAGCCTTTCACATTGGGAAGACGTCAAGATGAGTTGGGGTGGGGGGGTGGGGTGGGAGCTGAGGGGTTGGGGTGGGGGGTTGGGGGTGGGAAGGGGAAAGGTGACAGCACGGTCAAAGAGTTGCATCTTGAACTTGAAACAGTACTTGAATAAGTAAAATCTCCTCTTCAGATGATTCAGGTGAAATGTGTTGAAACATGGCCCTTGGTTGATAAGAATTAGGTGTTCCAATTTATCGTCTAAAGGAAATAATCCACAATTTCAATTTCACAATTTCAGCAGCTCCATTTCTACTCTTGGGTGATGAACACCTGCTAAAATGTAGTCGTTATATCCAAAGGAATGAACGCCTCACCTCGGTTGTTGTCTTGGCTCCCTACTTCCCAACAGATTGACTTTAAGTTCTAACTTTCAAATGCTTTGATGCTGTGACCCCATTGGAATCTACAGTTCTTCTGTCCTTACTCCCTCACTCTGCTCTGCCAACTCAGGTCTATACAAAATGCACGTTCTTATGTGGTGCATAGACTACATTACTAACATTATATATTAAAAACAATTTTTTTTCAGTGGGATTGGGTAGCAGAGTGGATGAGAAGCACCACTTGGGGCGGTGGGCTCTAGGTCTAAGTTCAGATTGAAGGAATGAAACTCGCCTCCACTGGCTCCCCATCCCCCAGAGGATTGATTTCAAGATCCTCATCCTCACCTACAAGGCCATTCACGGCCTTGCTCCCTCCTACCTCTCCAACCTACTATCCCCCTACCTACCTGCCCATACCCTCCGTTCCTCTGGCTCCGGTCTGCTCCACGTCCCCCGCCCCAACCGCCCTACTATCGGTGGTCGGGCCTTCAGCCTCTCAGCCCCGAGGCTCTGGAACTCCATCCCCCAGTGCCTTCGCCTTGCTTCCTCCCTTTCCTCCTTCAAGGCCGGTCTCAAAACCTTTCTCTTTGACCGTGCCTTCAGCTCCCCTCTCGACTCTCTTCCTCCTCCTCGCTCCCTCCCTTCCCTCCCTCACCCTAACCATTTCCCCCCTCCTCTCTCCCTCCCTTCCCTCCCCTCACCCTGACCATTTCCCCCTCCTCTCTCCCTCCCTTCCCTCCCCTCACCCTGACCATTTCCCCCCTGCTCGGGTCATGACCCAACTGTGCAGCGCCTTGGGACGTCCTCCTGACGTGAAAGGCGCTCTATAAATGGAATCTTGTTGTTGTTGTTGTTGTTGTTTTGCTGGTGGTTCTAAGGATCATGAATTAAATCAATTTTGGTCGCCTCGATCTGATTCCCAGTCACTGTAGGTCTGAAAAGTCAGACTGTGCACATTAAATTGGACAGCTTTGGTGGGAAAGACCGCAAGGATTAAATGAGGTGGAAGATGGAAATGTCGCTTTGGTAAAGCAGAGGGCAGATGTTTGTGTACATTTCTACAAAGTGGAGATGCACATATAAAAACTGGAATTGGAAAAATTCATTGCCTCTGTTGATATTTAGTTTTATTTGGGCCGGGTGTCTGACACCTGCGGAAACCCAGCACCCTGCTTAAGAGTGTCCAAACCAAACGAGTTCCATGCGTACCACTTACGCGTGGAAGTTCTTGTGTTTGGAATGGAATTCGGACTCTCTCTCTCCCAAGAGGGATGCATCCTACTTACCCAATCCTGGAGTGTATTAAACAGGATGACGAGAGCCAAGGTTTGGGGATGCCACAGTGCATGTCGGACTTGGGGAGTAGAAAGGGCAATGGTATCACATGGGGTGTCGCGTAACCTTATTAGCACTGGAGGAGTCGGTGCTTTTAATGCTGGCTGCACAAGGACAACGATGATAACAATTTGCATTTATATAGCCCCCTTCACGGGGGTAGCATCCCAGAGCACTTCACAGTGGCGGAGTCTGACCCTGAGCCAGGGGGAAGAAGGAAGGGGGAGGTGACTGTAAGCACGATCAAAAAAGAAAGGTCTTTTGGCAGGATTTGAAGGTGGTGGGGTGCGGGGGTGAGTGGGATGGGGACAAAGATCAATAGTGGGTGGTTTTCCTCTGGTCTGAGCCCTTTCTTACTCTGCAGGAGTGGTTCAGGTTCTCTCAATTGGACACCCCGATAACCTCTCGGTGAAATATCTTGGGGAACACCGCTCCGATTGCTGGAATGAAACTGGTCATGCAAAGTAGTGTTTGATTTTCTTTCATTTTCCCAGTCTTGTTTCACATGGCTAGGCTCCGTTGGTTTTATTGTATTTTAATTGCTTTGGTTTTTAAGCACGATTCTGAACTTTCAGGAGGAAATGCAACAGGGTTTAGCTGTGTTAACACGGGGTTTTAACACAGTTAGATGTCTTTAAGCAGTCTTTGTAGATTAGCTTTTCCGTACCATACGTTGAATGTTTTTATCGTTCACAAAACTGCTTAACATTTTTGCGGCTTGCTTCGTTGTGACTATCAAGTGGGGGAAGGAAATTTTGGGGTGAAAAGGGAGCTGATGAAAGAAATTGGCGTTCTCCGAGCACTTCAGCTCGTCTGGATGCACCGGTCCTCCTCAAACATTTATTCTTAGATTGTGGACTTGCCTGGAGGAGAACCTCAGGGTGAAAGCCTGCCTCTACAACTGTGACCGGTGTGAAAGGTGCCCAGGAGAAAGCATCCAACTTGAGGGCACTGCACCACCCAGAATATGTTTCATGTAAATAAGATCCAGTCATCAACGTCGATTTTGGGGAAGCAGGGAGCGAGAGAGAGAGAGAGAGAGACAGCCAAAACGTATAACCGGCTGGTACAAATAATTAATCATTGGCACTAGTTATTTTCTGGTTTCTCAGTTTGTGTTTGAAGTGTGGTGTGTATTAAGGTTTGAGACATTTAGTTTACTATCTCTGAAACTCAGAAATTCAGTTCAATGAATTTCTAACGGGGACAGTGCTTTGATGTGAGTTACGGAAGCTCCAGACTCAGCTTTCAGAAATAGCATCTTAAGCACAGCGAGTGTCGTCAGCTATGTGCAAAGTGGCAGAAAGGGTAGTCAGCTGTATTTTGTGGGATCATTAATGTGACGGCCACAAATGTTGCACAGGTCCGGTCCAATCCACATTTGCTACGAATTAAACTTTTTTTTAAATCGATTCTGAAATATTTTACCCCCGCCAACCCTCCAGTTGGTACTGGTGTAAACAGTCTGTCCTCCATAGTCTTGGTATGAACAATTTTGCGATGTACAATGCCCCAAGGCTGTGGGATACTGATTCATGCCTTGATGTGAACTTGGGAGAATGATATAATACTACTACTATTAATAATAATAATCATCTTTGCGTTAGATAGAGCACCTCATCAC